AGAACTCTAGCAGAACTAGTGGCTCGTTAGACTAGCAAATGAGGGTTCCAGAATTCTTGTCTTCCGTGTAATCACTCCTGCTGCTTTCTTAATAGGCATACGGCCTCCTATTGTGAATGGCCCAATGCCAGCACGACCACTGGTTGCACTCCTGGATGGACGAGACTGCACTGTGGAGATGCCCATCTTGAAGGATGTTGCTACAGTGGCATTTTGTGATGCTCAGTCAACTCAGGAAATCCATGAAAAGGTGGGCAAGAAAATGTGCAAGTATTCGGACGTAGAGCTCTGCCTCTTAGGGTAACCAAAGCAGAGAGTGATTTGGATTGGTTTTTGTTGTAGGTGCTGAATGAGGCAGTAGGAGCTCTGATGTATCACACCATTACCCTTTCTCGTCAGGATCTGGAGAAATTCAAAGCCCTCCGGGTCATTGTGCGTATTGGCAGTGGCTATGACAATGTCGACATCAAATCCGCTGCAGAATTAGGTATGATGACACCGTTAGGGCTCTGTTGCAATCAGAACTGAATGTGAAGTGGAACACTGCACATGTTTTTCTGTTTTATAGCTGAGTACATTTAACATCTTTTATGTAAAAAGATTTGGAACTACTTAGTATCAGGCATCTTTAGGAAGCTGACCAATATTGGAGCTGGTAGGTGGCTTGAAAGAAAGATTCTCAGTTCTCACATTGCTCTGCCATAGATATCAACGTATTTGCGATTGCTTGGGATTCAGAAATCTGAATATGGTGTCTAGATGACTTCTGGTGAGGTGGCTGTGGGTTGTTTATGGTGAAAGAATTGAGCAAACTGATGTCTGAAAGCAACCTGCAAAGGCTCACGCAGGATAAACACTATAAATGCTTGATAAGTGAGTTTTCCTGTTATTTTTTTGTATGCAGGTAGGTTCTGATTCAACACTTTATTATTGATCCCTTTAGAGCCCTAGGCATGCGAAGAGTCTCTGGATCAAGTGACAAAAAGCTGCTATTTATTAAACATATGGCAATGAGACTTTTGGACCTTGTAGTCTCTAGGTGAGGTGGATCATCTAAGTACCCTGTCCCTTCCTTTTTATGTTTGTGTCAGTGACTTGAAACCTTGCTTAATCTAATGCAGATCAGATGAAGTTTAAATCAAATGCAAGTATTTATACATAAAATTTAAATAGACATTACAATTTCCAGATCTGTAAGAACAGGTGACTTGCAAATAAATGAAGAGTGCATATTTGTCTAGTGCTTGAATTAGGTCTAAAGAGTCTTCTCATCTGAATGATTCAACTGAATAGTTGGAAGAGTTCCTGGCAGGGTCTTTGGCTCTCATCTAGCCATTACGTTTTTGGGCTGAGTTTGGAATCTAATCTATAGGGTTCTCTACTTAAAGTCGCCATCCATATCTTTGATTCATTTGGATTAAAAGCTTTCCCTCTCCCCCCACTCCACACTCATTAACCCAAGGAGAAACAGGTCAAAATTCTTTCACCATCACACTGCTGCTTGCTGCTTTTGCTTTGGAGTGATAGTATGATGACCCTTATGCATAGCCAGATTTGCTTTCTCATGGACAATTAATGATTATTTTCATGCTTAGCCAGGCCCTTTAATTCATTCTGAGGTAAGATACTATTCCTTGTGTGTTCTGAATCTTCAAACCACACCAAATGACTGTTGTGTGGTTTTGTGTTTTCTTACGTTTAGGCATACCATTGCATGTAAACACAAATTTGTGTCTAGCTGCATAAGAAATGAATGCACATGGCTTGTCTAAAGTTGAACGAGATGGTAACCAGTGGGATTAAAAGAAGTTAGGTTTCCCTGCCTCCCCTCCTCATGTTCTCCTAGTTGTCTGTGTGCCATTGTGGCACGATTGCAAAGGAGTTGATAGAGAAGAGGAATCAGATACCTGGGATTGTGTGTGGCCATTGCTCTCCTAGTTCTCTTGGAAGATTGTGGTCTGAGTTTAGTCAAATGTCTCCTCTGTGATGGGCTTACGAAAGAGTGATGCTGAATTTTATGTGCCTTTAACCATTGCCTAGATTTTATTCCTAGTTTTTAGACAGGTGGTGGACTTTTGAGGAGCAAGTTTCCTTGCTTTGGCAAGTGGCTAGGGTTATGTTTGGGAAGAGACTATTTCTTTATCTAGTTATTTTTATTCCTTAGCTCGTTTGTTGAATGAAGGATAGCAGCAGTGAAGTCCTCTGCCGCCACCTCCCCTCCCCTTTTTTATCTTTTTGGTTTTTTAGTAGCAGATTTTTTGTTCCCTCTTT